TCTTGCCGAATTTCTTTAACCGGTTGTATATTCTTGGCTTGAGGCCCTGTAGGATCATGCCGTTGGCACATTCTACTTGGCCGTTTGTCCTAGGGTGTCCTATGGCCGACCAGACCACATGGATGTGGTGGTCGTCGCAGAATGTCAGGAACTTGTGGCCGGTGAATTGTGTCCCATTGTCGGTGATGATGGTATTTGGAATCCTAAACCTGTGGATGATATCAGTGAAGAACAACACCGCTTGTTCGGATTTGATTCGGGTAATCGGATGAGCCTCGATCCATTTGGAGAACTTGTCAATCGCTACCGAGGGTGCTCTATCTTGAGGCAGTCATGCACCGAGGGCGCTCTATCTTGTTGAGACGGCGCCGAGAGCCGTTTTGAGGTGTCCCCGCGCCATCGAGACGCGGAGCTTTTGGCCTGCTGTACCACGGCGGTCACGAGAAGGTCTCGGAGCTCGCCGTGGACCCATCGCCCCTCCGAGGTAGATGGATCGGGCATCGTTCGGAGTAGCATCGCCGCTGCTGCAATGTTCTGGCTAGCGCGATTGAAGATAGGGGGTTGCTCACCCCTTCATCGTTGACGATGCGGTGGTAGACGTCGCGAGCCCTCTGCCGAGCTACTCCGCCATCACCGCGACCCTGCTACTCTCGCTCGAGAGTGTCTCGGAGCTGCTACAAAAGGATTCGGTCTTGTTTGACCTTGGCCTGAAGCTCATGGAGCTGCTCCAAGTCAAGGCATTGAAGTTCTTCATGGGTGGGGTTCTCGTTCCGTGCTGCTGGGGGTTCGACGCGCGGAGGTGTGGCGTCGCCTACCCCCTCGTGGGGCGGGGAGCGATTGCCTGCCCCTCCGTCTTCATCGCCCGCTCTCGGCATCCCGAGCTCGACGACGAAGCACTCACGAGTGGGGTCGTAAGTGCCTTCGTCATCGGAGTCGAAGTAGCCGAAGCAGTAGTCGCTCGCGGCCATGAAGCGGCGCATGGCTTCAGGGTCGCAAAGCCCGGAGAAGCCCGCTCCAGCCCACGCCTCGTCCTCCTCTGAGGAGTCAGCGTGGGTGTGGGTCGAGGTTGTGGCGAAGAGGTCGAGGGCGAAACATTGGTGGCGTCCTGAGGGCTCCGCGTGAGCGAAAGCGTAGGCGGCGGCGGCATTGTTCAACCCGAAGGGGTACGGGGATGGTGCCATCGCCAGGTTCCACTCCACCGGAGTCGATTCCTCAGGAGGTGACGGGGCAGAGCTTGATGACGGGGTGTTGCTACGCGCCACCGGCGTCTTTCCCTTGCCCAGGCTTAAGCTGGACAGGTCCCCAACCAGGGACTCTGTACCAACAACCGGGCGTGGGATACCGGCGGAGTGCGGTGCGTCGCCCTAAGCTCGCAAGGTGTCGGGGTGGTTTCGCTCGCGTCGTGCCTGGCGAGCGCGACGAGAGCGGCGGCCCGGGCGCCGCCTGCGCCTAGGCTAATGGTGTGTGATGCCGTCGTTGGCCAACGGGGCTCTGGATGGGAGGAGTACTAGGTTGTACTCGTATCCTAGAGACATGAACTCTAGGCTCCCGAACCAGATCATCGTGCCAAGACGCAGTGGTCGTACGGGGTCTACCATCCGAAACTTGTTGGGATGATTAAGCTAACGCGCAGTATGTCCCCCTACCTGGCGTGCCAACTGTCGGTGTTTCAGACCGGCGGGTCCTCAACCAACGAGTGAAAATATACTACGTATCCCTATCCCGGATGGTGATGCAAAGAGACACAAGGTTTATACTGGTTCAGGCAATAGGTGCCCTACGTCTAGTCTGGGAGAGCGATCTCGTATTCCTTTGCACCGAGGTGCTCATAGTAGGGGTTTACAAGCAGGGCGAGAGAGGGAGTTAGTCCCAGGTCTCTGCGTAGAGCGGCGTGGGTTGCTTGAGATGTTGATCTCTTGCAAGGAGGGAGCGTGCGTATTACAGAGTGTTGCTCGTTGCTTGCATGGGTGCCTATCGAGCGATGTCTCCATGAGTGTGTTGGGTGTCTGCCCCCTTAGAAACGGCCCCGGTCACTCCCTTTTATAGTTAAAGGGGGGACAGGGGCGATACATGCGTTCATGGCGTTTTGTGAGCGGAGGCGGTATGTTCGAGCCCTGCAGCTCGTTACTGTGGTGGTATGGTCGATGGAGCGGTCCCGTCCTTGGTACTCTGGAGCGACGCGCCAATCACGCCTGGTCTTGCGCGACGTGGGAGCTCCTGTGGTGGCAGGCGTACCTTCTTCTGTTGGGGGCGTGCTGGTCGCTGTATGTTTGACCGGCGTGGAGTGCCGAGGCCAGGTTGATGCGATGGCATGGGTGTGCTGACTCCGAGGACACAGGAGCTCGGCCCTGTGCGCGACATGGGAGCTCCTACAGCCTGACGCAGGGTATGGCGTGTTCTGCGGGCGACGTGCCGAGGCCCAGAGTGCTGATGACGTAGAGAGCCGAGGCCCAGTCGATGCAGAGGCTGGGCCATCGTGGGGGGCTCGGCGGGTGAGAGTCCCGAGGCTACAGGAGCCCGAAAGCGAATAGCCGAGGCTCGGAGGGAGCAGTTGGTTTTTTATGCTGATTCCAAGGCTATAGGGGCCCGGACATTACTCTCCACGCCGCAGTGTCATCGGAGCAGGTGGGGTTAGGTAGCACAGTGCCGCATGGGTGTCAGTCGTGGGCACAGTGCTGAGCACAGCGGCCGGTAACCCCTGCCCCGTCCTGTCCCGGACTGCATGGCGCCGATGTGACTCCTCGTCCCGTCGGCCACTCTGCTGTACTGCGCCGACGCGCGGCTGACGTTGCGGGAGTGGTTGGATGGTACATCCTGTCAGGGAATTTGGTCAAGGCGGCGGTGATGGGGTCGATGTCGAGTCGGCCTCGCGCGAGTCGGTAACTGAGAGTTCATCCGAGGCCTCGTGGCGCGGGTCCTCGGGCGAATCGGAGAATCGGTACCTTATCCGAGGCCTTTCGGGCGGGGCCTCGGGCGAGGCGGAGAATCGGTACCTCGTCCGAGGTCTCAGGCGATGGGGCCTCAGGCGAGTCGGAGAGTTGGTGCCTCGTCCGAGGCCTTGCGGCGTGGGCCTCGGGCGAATCGGAGAATCGGCCGAGGCCTCGTGGTTGTCTCTTGGCTTTGATATTTACAAGGTCTAAGCATGTTTTCGGTTCTTGCTTAGGGTACCCCTTTTTATGGTATCCGACAAAACTTTTACTACATCTCAAGCATACAATGATTAGTCCACCATAAAAATTTCACCACAATAGGACCAAAGAAACTGCAGCTATGAATGAATCACAGAAAAGCATAGATCTAAAGCTATACCAAAAATTTTATACTAAAGCATACCATATCATATGTTTACTGTGTAGATCTACTCATATGGAGTCCAACAAAATTGGATTTTATATTTTATGATTTTTCTGTAATTTATTATGATTTTTAAATATTTAGCCAAAATAAATATAAAATAAAATAAAATAAGAAAAGAAAAGAAAAAAAAACCATCTAGAGAATCAACCAGAGAGGTCGTATGTCTGGTTTGAAAAGATCGGGGAGGAGTTATGTCCAGTTTTCAGTTCAAGAGGAAAAATTGATTTTTGCTATAATTGAGGGAGGCAAAGTAGACTTTTTCCTTGTTATTATGGTCAGGCTTGTCTGGAAAGGGAATTTGGGCAGAGAGGCAAGAACTGGGAAGGGAAATGGACGAGCACGCGGCTGAATCAGCGAGAACGAAGACGGTTTCACGATCAGTTATGAGTTCGTTAGAGATGATGTTCCCTCCTCTCCCGAGCCGGCCCAGCTCACTCACCCAACAAGGCCTGAAGGCACGATACAGGCAGGCCGAGGCCCAAGCCCAACACTCACTTCTTACTTGGTACAACGAAAGATCAAGTAGTAGCAGTAGCACCCATGCCAGTCAGATACAGGCCTATCATCTTACTACTGCTGAGTGCTGACCACACATTGCTATTAGCTAGGCTTATTACTAGTTACAGGAAGTCAGGAATACAGGTTGATTTAATTCCAGGCCATATGACATATCAGCACTCAGCAGTGACAGTGACAGTGCAGGTAGTAGTGCTAGCGTGGCGACAAGTAAAGAAAGAAAGGCTTTGGCAAAGGAGAGAACATAATGATCGAAAGCCTCCGCAAAGGTGACCTAGCTCGGTGCTTCAAGTGCAGCACCACTCATGAATCAGTTACGCAGTAGCATCATCGCTTTATATATTCGCCCTGTTTCAGCAGTACCAGACCATGCATATATATTCTTACGTACGTACGAGCTAGTAAAGTATATACAGTTTTGTGATCTGTGAATGAATGAGCTTATGAAACACGCGCTTCTATACAATAATGTTCTTACGGTAGAGTACACCGACAGTTCTAGAATTGTGTCGGTGTGTGTCGCTGGTTTGTAAACTGTCGAATGCAAATCCATTCAATCGGATCGGAGGTCCAAAGTCCAAACTAGAGCACCCCAGGGCCCAGATAATCTCTGGCTACTGACATTTAATTATATATTGCTGATGATCAATTTGATGCGTGTATATAGCAACTCTGTCAGATCGACATATATATACAAATACTGATTAGGCCATGGAGACCTACACCGATCATAAATCACTTGATCAGTCCAGGAGCTTGTAAGTTCAACTGAATTTCAAAACTGAAAGATCATATCTAGCTAGGTAACAAATAAAGGACGGAAAGTTTAAGAATCCGAAGCTGCATCTTCAGAGATTTGATGCCAAATGTGAAATAAGCAGACAAGTTTAGGTGAACCTTCAGTTCAGCAAACTTTAGTCCATTATTGGTATCTTTAGCTTTATTAGCTTTTGGATTAGGCCCAAAATAATCAGACTAATAATAGTTAAAGCTCCAGTGATGCCATGCTGCTTGTTGTCCCCCGGTTCGCGTTCATCACGCACATATATAATCGTGTGATAGGCACACGGTAGGCCGTGCCCAGCCTTGCCGATTATTGACTGACCACCAATCCGTTGTGCAATCCAATGTCGACCAGCCCGCCCCTCGCCGTCCTCCTTGTCGCCACCGCCATGGCCCTTCTCCTCGCATCGTCCGTCATTCCGGCCGCCGCCGCCGCCGCCGTTGCCAGCGGTGGCAGATATGGCGGCGGCAGGATGGTGTTCGTCCACGGACCCGGGAGGACAAAGCAGGTCGGCGGCGCTCGTGGCAACGAGTGGCGGCACTACCTGGCGCGCGTGGAGGACGAGGTGGCGCCGGAGTTCGGCGGGATCCTAGCGACGAATTCGAGAGGCGGCAGCATCTCCTCTGGCGCCCAGGCCGATCTGCCCGAGCGGCACCCAGTGCGCTGCCAGGGGAGGAGGGTGGTCCTACACCCGGCCGTGCACGTACAAAAACCAATGCCCGCACTGACCATGCTTGAGCACGTATGATACGTGCCGTGTATGACACCGCCGCGGCGGCCATTGTGTTGCCAACTAAACCGAGAGGGTGTGTGTTTGTTCGTGTTGTTGCATGCGCTGGGAAGGCAGTACGGTGTGTGCGTGTTTGCGACCGTGATGCGTGAACGACCCTGCCACGTGCGTGCTTCAGCCTGTTTGGTCTCAGTCTCATGCATCACGCGAGAGCTAGGCTGCATATGCTTCTCCCTTTGTCGATCTGACCTGGTGTATCGTTCTTTGGCTATCGCCGTGTTTAGTTGGACCCCAAAGTCCAAAAAGTTGCTATAGTACTTGTCACATCGAATGTTTGCGGTCCGTGCATAGAGTATTAAATGTAGACGAAAATAAAAACTAATTGCACAGTTTGGTGAGAAATTGCGAGACGAACGTTTTGAGCCTAATTAATCCATGTTTGAACACTATTTGCCAAATAAAAACGAACATGCTACAGTAGCCCCAAAATCCAAATTCACCCAACTAAACAATAGCTATATGTAATTAATTAACGGTCTCAAATTCCATCTGGATATGATGTTTATATGTGTTGTCAGTCTGTGAGATGTTTCAGCAGCCTTTGCACAAGTCGCATCATGTCGTCAGATAGACGTGTCACATGAAGTAAGCGCTAGCTAGCCCTAGTTGACCGCGCGCAGACGCCACCGTTTCCTCTGTTCGTTAGTGCGCATGCACGAAGCCTAACCAACGCATGCTGCTCAAATGGAACACCCAACACCTAGACCTAGGGGCACCTTTATTCCTTTATGTTACACTGCTCCTCTGAACCTAACTATCAGCAGCAGCAGCCAATTGTTGCGAGTGGACCTCTCTATCTGTTGTGTATTCGCTCCGTTCTTGATTGCAAATCATACTACCTATATATGTGTGTGTTGTGCTCATATGATCATACATATGCGATATATACAGTGCATAAGAAGCAGTGAAGCAGCACCCGGCCAGCCCAAAGTGTGCCTAGCTTAGCTTATAGGAACGAAGAAGAAGCAAAACAAACCAGTGCACAATGGCTGGCAGCTACCTGCCCCTCGCCTCCGCCCTCCTCGCCACCGCCATCGTCGCCATTCTCGCGGCCACATCCGCCTTTCCTGTGGCCGCCGCCGCCTCCGCCGCCGATAAGTACAGCGGCAGGATGGTCATCATCCGCGCACCCGGGGCAAGGGTCCTCGACGTCTCTGCTGGCGGTGCGCTCAACAAGTGGCAGCAGCAGCAACGGCGCCTGGTGGAGGACGAGGTGGCGCCCGAGTTCGGCGGCCTGCTCGGGACGGGAAACGGCGGCAGCATCTCCGACGGTGCCTTGAACAAGAACAGGCAAAATTGCCTGCCGTCCGGCCAGTGCACCAAGCCAGGAGGGTCCTACACCCGGGGGTGCACGTTCAAGGACCACTGCCCCCACACCCCCACTGCCGCCGGGCACGCACGCGCCGTGCATGGGTGAGCCACAGCCACACTGCCATCCGATTCCGACGGGACGACGCGGTTACTGTGCGTGTGTGATACGTGCAGTTACATGAATAAACGAGTGTATGTTCATATATGTTGGCATGTTAAACAGTGTTAGCCCATCGCACTTCCTACATGATCAAAGAGAGGCTGAGATCGAGCCTCTCACAACTTATATGCATGTCTTCTTCTTCCCTATTCTCGTTCTAGTTCTGGATTATACAGTCTCACACACTGACACTACTGATATTTTCACTTGCCATATATACACAGCTATCAATACAAGTTTTTTTTTTTTTTGAGAAAAAGATATCAATACAAGTAGATGAGGGTAGTAAGGTACTACTCATGTTTGAGTACAGCCCAGGTCAGCCCACCGCGTATATGCCTCGGCCCATTAGAGCAAGGCCAATGAGTTGTATGGGTCGGCCTCAAGTGAAAAATGGGCCAGTATGTCAAGGACTGATGACCCATCTGGTAAATAGTAATAATAAGATGGTGAGTCTGTTTTTTCAGCGGTGGGTTCTGGCTGGGGATTCTGCTTCTATGGTTGTGAATCTAAAAAAAATCTGGATTAGCTTCATTGGAGTTTGTCCCACGGGCTGGTTTTTTTTATTACGGCAAGCCTAGTGCTCTGAAGGCAACGTCCGTCCGTACAGAGCTCCCTCGTCCCGTGCCCATCGCCCATCCCGCGTTTGTATGGATGCCCTGCCAGCTCTGGGAGAGACGATGCAGCAGAAGGTGGGAGAAGAAGAGAAGCAACACCCGATCTACTTTTGAAACATCTAAATCCAACGGTTGAACATACGTCTGAAGGCAGTTGAAATATGCTTCTGAAATACTTGAAAACACACTTGAAACACACTTGACAACCTTTGCAACCATACACAACATCCGAATAAAACACATGCAACATATGTGTGAAACCTATGCAACATCCATAAACACAATTGCAACATGCGTCCGTAAACACAAATGAAACATACCTTTGAAACATCTTAAACACTCAAAACATACTCTTGCAACATGCCTCTGAAACATATGCAACATGTGCAACACTCCCCGATCTACTTTTGCAACATCCATATGAAATAAATGCAACATACATTTGAAACTCTTGAAATAATTGAAAGATACAATTGCAACATAGGGGGCAGAGAGATCGTGGCGCGGGGAGCGCCATGGCCGCTGGATCTGAGGGCGTTGGGGGAGGACGCCGGTGTCGGGGGAGGGGCGCTGCCGAGGTGGGGGAGGAGGACGCCGGGGTGGGGGAGGAGCCGCGGGTGTGCAGGGGAGGAGTACGCCGCGGTAGGGGAGGACGATGCCGGAATGGGGGAGGGCGCGCGTCGGAGTGGGTGAGGGCGCCGCCGGGGTTGGGGAGGAGGACGTCACCAGCAGCCAGGGAGGGAGAGGGGGTGTGGAGAAGACATACGAAGGCGCGGAGGAGCACGGTCGCCGGCGGCGGGGGCGGGGAGTAGGGGCGGCCACGAGGTGGTGTCCGCCCTAACGGGCCCGAGGAGCCTGTGTAGTAAAAGAGACCTGATTTCACTTTCTGATTGTTTGAAATTAAGCCTCGATCCTCTTCATTTTTGGCACGAGTGGCCTTGGCACTTGGCAGTTCCAAGTGCTGACCCTTAGGTTGAACAACTTGTGCAACAATAAGCATGGAATACTCATCCACTTCTCAGCTCCACTCGGGTTTCGTTTCAGCAGCAGCACCCAAGATGCATATGCTATGTCGTCAGATAGACGTGGCTGATGAGGTTAGCTAGCTGCAGGTGAGATGTGATGTAAAGTACGGCGGGCTATATATAGCGGATTCCCCACCATGAGTCAGGACGCCCACCACATTGTTTCACCTTTCTAATCATGTATGCTTTGCTGCTTCGTCCAATATCGATATATGAACCTGTTTGGTTTTCATAAGTCAGGTGACTTATTAAGTTTGGTGACTAAAAACCGATGATTTATAAGTTATGCATGTTTAGTTGTAGATGACTTATAAGCTCATTAAAGGTGTGGACCCGACACGGAAAAGGGTGACTTATAAGTTTTAAGCAGGGGTGAACCAACTTAAAACTTATAAGAAGGGGTGACTTATAAGTTGGTGGTGTTTGACAAAATAAGTCACTTTTTTTACTTTTAAACTTATAAATAGGTGGCTTATTTAGAACCAAACAGGCCCTATATATATATATATATATATATATATATATATATATATATATATATATATATATATATATATATATATATATATATATGAATGAAGTGCGCGTGCCTACAGCTTCCCCTTAAACTTTTGGTCATGGTCCCAAAATGATTGCGCTGCATACTCGAAGCTAAAGGTGCACTCCTCCCTATCAGCCTTTAATTTGTTCGTGATTCTACCTCGATTTGTGCACCGTGCACGCTCTATATTAAGGCTCATACGACCCAGCTAGCTAGACCGCCAGACGAGGTGCCATGTGCATAAGGATGAAAACGGGCACAAACAGTATTATTGTATAGAAAATGGAAGCGGTCGGTTCAGGATATTTTTATATTTTAGCAATTAAAGAGTAAAAAATTGGTTAAAAATGGTTGTGAAACCAGTTGAAAATTGTTGTGAAACCAATTGAGAATAATAAATTTTTATGTTTGGCGAAATTCAAAAATGATTTTATAATATAGAAAACGGTACGATAATATAGAAAACGAAAACGATCGATTCGAAATATTTCGGTACTGTTTTCATCCATGTTCATGACCACAGCCGTACCATAGAAATAACCGAGTCGATCCATCGGTCGTGCACACGATGGCAGCCAGCGGCAGCCTACCCCTCGCCGTCCTCTTCCTCCTCGCCCTCGTCGCATCCGCCGTCCCGGCCACTGCCGCCGGCGGCAAGTACAGCGGCGCCAGGATGGTGTGATCATCCGGGCCCCGCTGCGACGACAAGGGTCGCCGGCGCTGACGGTGCTCGGAGTAACGAGTGGCAGCAGCACTACCGGCGACTGGTGGAGGACGAGGTGGCGCCGGAGCTCGGCGGCCTGCTGCTGGGCGCGGGCGACGGCGGCATCGGCAACCACGTCCTCAACCCGGACAACACGGGCTGCGAGAGCAGCAGCCAGTGCGCCGCTAAGGGTCGTGGTGGGTCCTACACCCGGCCGTGCACGTACAAGGACTACTGCGCGCACTGACCGGCCGGCCGGCGCTGCAACCAACCGAGACTCCGAGAGTCATATGTAGGGTGATGATGTGTGTGGATGGTTGCCAGTCAACCATGTGTTCGATCGTTGCTTAACGGCGGCCGCACGCTAATAAGGGAAACACTCTGCATTACGTGCCTGTTTTTTGTTAATTTATTTCTTTCAGACGACAAATCAGAGTAATTGAATTTGGTAAAGACTTCATACCATGCTGCTGTTTTTTAGGCGCACCGCACACCCACCTCCCCCATCACCCGTTCCCTAACCCCAATGTCGGCGTCTAACAACATTGTAGGAGACCGTGACGTCTAAGAGGAAAGATGAATTAGATAATTTAAAATTTTAACTATAAACTATGATCTTTTTTTCTAACCTTAGCAAAACCTATGTAAAAGATAAACTATCTAAATGTGCAACTGCAATTTTGCTATTGTGTTGCTATCTCTACCGTAAAAGAAATAATACAATCAATGTAAATTAGGAAGGTAAAGAGCAGGGTAGAGATATGCAAACTCCCATCGACGACTCCGGTATTTTTACCGAGGTATCGAGAAGCGCGCAAGCTTCTCCCTAGTCCTCGTTGGAGCCCCTCGTAAGGAATCTCTCGCAAGGGCCAAGCTTCCGGTCGGGTAACTCCGTGGATAGCCTCGGGCCTTCCCCACGAGCAAGTGGGTCTCCGACGTGCCTTCCGGCAAGCCTCTCCTGGATGCTCTCCGCCGTCTTCACTATCAAGCTTCCGGTCGAAACGCCGCGGGCCTTGTTCCCTTCGGTATATGGTGGCGGCCACACCACAAACGCGGTTAGTGTGATCTCGCAAGACTACAAGCCCCTCCGATATACAACAATGGTGCGTGCAAGCACCGAGTGGTAAGAGGTATGCAAACCTCACTAAACACTAGGCCGAAACCTAGAGCAAGCGTATAAGCGGTGGTCTAATCAACCTAAGCACTTCGGAAAGCACCTACGCTAATCACATAATGAATCACTAAGCACTATGTAAGTGGAGATTACTAAAATGGTGTATCAACACCCTTGATATGTTTCCTCAGCTCCACACACTTCAAATGGCCGGTTGGAGGTTCTATTTATAAGCCCCACTGAGAAAGTAGCCGTTGGGGACGAAATCCCGCTTTTCTGCTACTTACCGGATGCTGATCACATCTTGACCGGACGTGTCCGGTCGTCCCGATCGTTAGAGCCACGATCAACTGATCGGACGCTGCCAGCGTCCGGTCACATGCCACCGGACGCGTTCGGTCGCAATTTCGCCGCTCTGGAACCTTTCTGTACTCGATCGGATGCTGCAGCTATGCGTCCGGTCGATTTGCCGCCAGCGTCCGGTCCAGCGTCCGGTCGCTGCTGCTGACGCCTGTTTGCGAGCCTCCTGATCGGAGCGTCCGGTCACTTTCCGTCAGCGTCCGGTGACCTCTGTGAGCTCGTTTCTTCGCGATCTTGCGTACGGCTTGGTTCCTATCTTCGTGCTTGGACTTTGCTTGATATCTTGGGTCTTCTCTTGTGCTCGTAGGGTCTTGCTTATGGTGTTGATCATCGGATCATCACATCGTCTTCGTCCAAGTCACGTCTTACACCCTATTGAACTACAAAACAATCACTTGCAAATTCATTAGTCCAACTTGGTTGTGTTGGTCATCAAACACCAAAATCCAAAGTAAATGGGCCTAGGGTCCATTTTCCTTACAATCTCTCCCTTTTTGGTGATTGATGACAACACGACCAAAGTAAGCAAATAATAGCATTTTGAAATCTTGAGCAAGAGAAAAAAAATCTTGAGCAAGAGAAGCTA